TCCCTAGACTGTTTTTAGTCACTATTGAGTCATATTGCTGGGCTATTAGTACCCTAGGAAGTTACATCTCACAATTGTTACCACTGGCATGGGTTAAGCATTTTATGCTGAAGTTATGTTGGGCAGAGAACACACACATTCAGTTAGTGTTTATTAGCTGAACCATAGTAACTTACTGCTTTCAGTTGTATTTCTGTACTCTTTGCCTCTTATCCTCACACTGGGAGCCCTTAAATGTTAGAGAGACATTCTCCCTTTTTTTTTTTTTCTTTTCTTCCTCCCCTATGAATGAGCCTTAAGCAGAAGCTTAGTCTGTGTTGAGATCAGAGTAGATTTACTTGCTTCAGAATTTATTTTAGGGAAAAATAGGTGTTCTCTACAATGTCTTCTCTCTAAACATCTAGGTTGTGCATTTGTGCATTGTTTCTGGTAAGAATGATTTTCTAAAATGTGCTTCTCAATGGAATTTTCCATTAGTGACAAGGCTTGAAATACGAGAGCAATTCTAAGCATCAGAATTCATGGTATATTCTTTATTTGACTAATAGTGGAGGAAAGCATATGGGGAAGCAGTGCCTAAAAGCAAATTACATTACATGCCCTCAGTTTCCAGTAGGTTTTTTTTAATTCCAGAGGATGTCTAATTCTCTTTAAAACAAACGAGAGAAAAAAAAAAAAAAAGGGAAATTTCTCTCATCTAAGCAGGACTATCATCTGGTAGAGGTGGGTAGGTGGGGTAGTTTGACTTCCTCATTGTTGTCTACTAGAAGTTAACCGTAGCTAGCTCAATACTTACTTTATCGTTTTCTTTTCTGTCAGATTTGATGGTGGAGTTCATTGTAACACACATGATGAAAGAATTTCCTATGGATCTCTATGTGTAAGTGTCTGTGGGGGGACTCGTGATTTCATTTCAAGTTTGAATTTGGGTGGAATTCTAGTCATAGAACAATCTTCCAGCTGAAATAACGCTTTGTGGCTGGTGGGGAGCAGGATGGCTTTTCATGAACTCTTCCAGCAACTTTTTCTACTTCTAAAATGCTTTGTGTGCCAGAAAATTGAAAGCGAAATGAATTTCCACCTTTCAGACCGATTTCCTAATCTACTTGATCAAATACCAAGAGCTTTTCAGTCTGAAAGAAGTTTCATAATACACAGTCATTGCAAGAATCCCTACTTCCAGAAGCTGAATCTTGGTCTAAAAACTGAAAAGACAGTTTTGAAAAACCAAGGACGACTGACGTGAGGCCTGGAAGGCAGTGTGGAGTGTTGGAGAGAGGTTTAAGCTTGAAATAGCCTGCTATAGGCAGCAAGGGCTAAAACTTAGCGATGGGGAAAAGGAGAGAAGAGGACAGGGCTACACATGAGCACTCCATGTGTCCCAGGAGGCCCCTAGAATGCTTTGTTCTGCTTTAGCCTGGAGGGCAGAAATAGGATTTAGGCAGATCATTGGCTTTGCTCTGACTATTTGTACAGTACTGAATTTCCCCAAGGCTTGAACAGCACTATATTCTGTAGAAAAGATAAAGGTACATAGGCTGTTTTCCCTTAAGGTAACTTTTCATCGTGTTCTGATTTTGCCCAAACAACCCTGCAACTACAGTGCCTTTGCAAGGGTTGTACAGTTCAATTATGAGTTTGTGAGAAATGTTTTTTTAATCACAATTACAGAATTAATTGTAGTTGGGTGTAGTGCATTGGAATTTCACAAGAAAGGTGTGAAACACTTGGGCTCAAAAGTAAGGTCACATCTAGAAACTGCATGAGAGTAAAAATAATGAGCAGTAGCAACCATCAGTGGACATCTGTATCCATTCATTTTAGCATGTTTGTGCAGTCCTTTCACTACGCTCCTGTCTGAAACCATCCCATAGCAGACGCAGTTATTGCAGACAAAGTGGGTGTTCTGAATGCACAAACAGTGTCGTACTTCTCTGCAATACATTTAAAAGGTGACAGTATGAAGCTGCTCAAAGGAGGGCATATTAATTTTTAAAAGAGAAGTCACGGTTGCTTTGACCAAGGGTGGTTTTTTTTGTCCATTATGTGTATTATGAATCCTCAGCACAAAGCTAAAAAAACAAAGACACCCCACCAGGATGGATAACTTCATAGCTAAAGCAGTTTCATAGCTAAAGCAGTATGGTTTGGGAGTCTATAGGCTGGTAGCTGGTGCTCTGGCTCTTTAGGCAGGGGTACTAGGACTGTTACGCCCCTCCTCATCCCTTTTCTCCCATGCCTTGATTTCACCCAGAAAGCTGTAAGCTACGATATACAACCACAAGGTTTCAATGCTGAGATATGTCTGCAGAGTATTTTGCATTAACAGGTGTTGTAATTATAAAGAAATGTTTTAGCCATTGCCAGATTCTCTCTGGTCAGTGCTTTAATAGTTTTTTTGTAGAGGCCAATTTTAGTCTTGCAGCCAAGCAAATACATAGGTGGAAAGGTACTGGGCATTGTCTAGTACCAGAAACATCAGAAATAGCAGGTCTGTCCCTGGAGGGATTGCTGTTCCTGATCTGAAGAAAGCTGTCTGTATCCTAGCTGGTTTGCTTCCTTTTCTTGGCTGAATTTATGAGAATCCAGTTTGAAATATAGCACTTAATGTGATGCTCAGCTATTATAAATGGTTTTAACTTTATTCGTCTAAAGTTAGTTTCAGTCCTTACCCCATCGTGGTATTATTTCTTAAGGTTTTTTAAAGCCTTATTTTGAACTCTTCACCCCGTTTTGAATAACTTCCATACAAATTTTAAAAATTTGATTTCTCTGTTTGTCTGATATGTAGTGTCTTTCAGTAGTGTCTTTTCAGAGAGGTGTTGATATTCATAGAATCATAGAATCATTAA